TGTAAAAGTATAAATACAAAAAATTATTACTCGCTACATTATAAAAAATACTGATGTACCGTTTTACAATTAATAAATATATTTAATTCTAAAAATAAATTGATACAGATTTGTTAAACATTTTATGTCGGTTCTTAAAAAAAAAATTTTCTTAAAATTATTATTTTTTTTAAATTACTACTAATATCATTGCAATTTGGAAAACTAACTTGCAAATTTTACTCATTAATTACGTATAAGCTAAATTGCACGTTAATTAATCAAGAATATATCAAAACTTGATGTATATGCATGATTCTTGACTGCTTTCTGGATGATCATGAAAGAAATCTACAATTCATCTTCTTTCGAACTGATTCAGCATTTTTCGTTAAAATTATTTAGGAAAAATCGTCTTAATATTTAAAGATCAGGTTTAATACTTTGTCTCTTAAATCTGTGCAAAACTAGCATAAGTTATTTACTTTATTTAATTTTTAAAAGATATTTTTTCGTTTTATACTCATAGAGAAAAAGAAATTATTTATATCCCATTCTAATTTTAAAAAAATGTAAAAAAATTCACAAAATTTATTACATTAATTCTCCAATGTTGTATATTTATCTATCAATATTAAGTTTAAGTATTTGGATAATTGCTCCCAGAATATTACAAATCTGTTTTAAAACTTTTATTATATGACGGCGTTTCGTTATTGCCAGATTTTAAATATTTGGAATATTCTTCTATACGGCTCAAATTATACTGAAATTATATAGATCTGACATCGATAGGTACGTCGAGAGCATGATTGGGAAATTAATGGAGCATTGCCGTTAGTAACTACGCGGATGCGCAGCATCCGCAGTTCCGGCGACACTGTAAGTGCCTGTATCACCTGTTACGCCTGTCATTCGCTCTTCCGCACCTCTCTACCAACATCCCGGTCGTTATTACGTCCTTCGTAGTATTCAGCATCTCGTACGCGTTAACATTGGTAACGGGCGCGAGAGAGCGCTATCGATTATCGATGTCTGTCGCGTTGCCCGAGAGAAGACGACAGATCAATGGGAAATTCAGTGCGCGCGTGAGTCGCCGAAGCCAATCTCGCGCACGCCGAGAAAAGTACGCCGGATACGGCGAATGAAGTGAAATCGCGTTTGCGGTCTCAATCGCGATCGCCCGAGCAATTTGTCACACACCGCGGGACGTCTTTCGAGTCGATATGTCTATAAATCTCCTTATCGTCCGGCCTTGCGAGAGAGAGAGAGAGAGAGAGAGAGAGAGAGGGAGCGCGGGACTTTCATCCGATTATGCACTCAATCAAGGTGTATTGGGTAGCCCGCGGACTCGGGCGTAACAAAAGGAACCCGTCAATACCATTACTTAGTTTCCGTTTCCGGATCTCCCAATTTCCCAATCCCAATGATCGCGCGGGTATATCGCGGAAGGCGATAAATCGAGGCTTGGTCACCGTTAAGGGTAGCTCGCCTCGGGTGAATAACGCGCGCCTGGCTGGCTCCTCCGTTCCGCAATAGATTTCGGAACGAAGAGAAATATCGACGGCCCACGTTACTGACGCCGTCGTTTACGCCCCATCCATCCTGCGAGGCGAGCCGTCGAGGGTCCGTCGAATTCACTTTGCCAAGGGACTTTGCCAAGGGTCGGGCGAGAGATCGATCGTCGTCTGCGCGTTCTACACGCCGACGACGATACTCAAATAATTTCAGCCGCCACCCGTGGGTGGTGGGTTCTCTAAATATTTGGCCGAGTATATTCGGCGTGCACGCGTGGAAATATGTATGCGTGCGCGTCGTTTTGGGCCGCGGGGAAAGAGACACGGCAAGCGGATCGGCGGTGCCTGCTGAATCTACGTCGCTAAAAATACGCGTCGCAATAAACTCAAGGGTGACGTCCACCACGCGGATCGACACGACGTTTTTAGCCGTCCTTCTTTTTCTTCTTCTTCTTCTTCTTCTTCTTCTTCTTCTTCATCGAGAACTTTTGTTTCCTCTCTGTAATTACTGTTCTCAAGATTACCGTTCTGCAGTCTGTTTACGTCATTACTCGCCACCATAAACTTAGGATAATTTAATCAATGGCGCCTACATTCTGGAAGCGTAAAAATAAACACGAGAAGAATGAAAATTTTCGGTAACGTTATATCTAATCGTAGGTGAGATTGTTTTAACAGCTTTTTCTCTCTTGGTTTTATTTCCTCATTTAAGAGGTGGCGTGGTGGCAACTTGATCGTAGCGATAACAATTTAGAATTAACGCGTAGTTGCGTTCATTGCGTCAACATTTGCCTTTCTGGCGAGCTTATTATAATAAGATAGATATACATCTGCACAACGTAATACTACGTCAAGGATAATTAATAATAACGTTGTGTCTTCGGGTTCAAAGTCCTTGAGAATCAAGGCCAAGAACATTTATTTTCGCACTATTTATATTATAGCTACAATTTAATTTTCTTTAAAAAAATTTTCGCTAAAAAAATTTTAATGTCATTTCGATGTTTTTGAGCTTTAAATTGCGATAGTTATTAATAATTTTAATATATATCTTTATCAAATTTTGTAATCTATAATATTAATAAATAATAATAAGTAATAATATTTAATAATTTTAATGAAAAATGTACTAAATTTAAGCCAAATTGGAGTAAAGAAATATTTTAAAGAATTCAGTTAGTTAAAATTAGCGATGAATCTATCGATAATTAAACATTTAAAATTAAACATAAATTAAATATAATTTTTGGATTTCTTCAATAAGATCTCAGGTAACTGTAAATAAGACCAAGTAATTTGATGATGAATGTAATACAATGCATTCTGTAAATATATTGCTCATGAGAAGCGTTTATGCGGCATTCTTGCAAGAATATTCGCTGCTGGAATGTTCATGGAAACGTTCATGGAAGACGATGTAGCTTCTCCCCTTCGAGCTCGTTGCGGTGTATCGTAGTCGCGATTAAACGTGAAAGCGCACGCCGGAGAATGTTCTATCTTACCGAGATAGGAAACCCGTGAAACCCGCGGTCGATCTACTTTAATCACCCTTTACGACGCGATATAAATAGCTTTCCAGTTATTTATCACCTCTCCATAAAAATCTTTTCCCGCAGTAGCAGTGGAGATATGACTAAAGTTGCCGCGCGAAGCCAATTCGTTGTTTCGAAGAATAATTATCACAGGGAGGGGGTTGATAACGGAAACTCTACAACAGCGAGTCCCCGATTTTGTAGGGACAAGGTGATGGATAGTGCGACCTTCAAAGGGGGCGATATGCATCATCATCGATAATACGACGGGACATAGATCAGTTATTTTATAAGTGTCAAACTTGCAATTCCCACGCGGAAAAATTTGTTACCAGCTGTAGACCCCGGTGAAATAAATAAAACAATCGATGCCAGAAGTGTGACGGCGAGGAAACGATAATTCGGACTTCTCGACGCGTTCTCGAGGTTATTAATTCACTCACCATGGACATTAATCTTCGGGACGACCGGGATCGACGGCCGAGTGCCGCATCGTGCGAAAGAATAATTCTTTACGTGGATGATTTTGCGGCGGCAACCGGCCAGGATTTATCATCGGAATTCTACAATCGCGCCAAGGATGTTTACGTATTATCTGCCGAACCGGACAATAAACGGATAGGTCATCGTTCCAGTCTGTATCCACCCACTCCCGACAGTCTGGGCTTTCAGCTGGACGATCGTTCCGCTCTTTATCTTCTCGACTCCAGCGAGAGATCGCCCTCCCCTAATCTACTGTGCTCTCAGACGAGCACTCCTAGACGCTCCAGATGCAATTTAGACGTCGATCAGCGATCCAGCAGACGCTCCAGCACGCAGTCGAGTCGTTCGAGGACGAACAGCTGCAACAGACCGACTCCTTTAGGTAGGAGATAATTGGAAGGTGAACGAATAGGAGAAAATGTTTTATTCCTCAGAACTAATTAAAGAGATACTATAATTAGCCTTGAATCAATATCTCGCCTTTGTGGAGCTTATGTATATATATTTCACAGTTCACGTTTATCTTCTCGCGACATCAAAATATAATCCGGTAAAACTCGACTTTCCCAACTTGACGCCGTAGTTCGAATGCATTAAAGACACATATGGAATGTATCCCCCTTTGCCTCGGAGCATCCACAAAAGCGATTATCGTCACTATCGATCAATTCCTGTGGGCGTACGAAAAACGCTTTAATATTAATACGTGACGACGACATGAAACTTCAGGGGATGATAGAAGAGCCAGCGTTAGCAAGAAAACCAGGCCACGAAGGGCAAGCACCACAGTCCCTCGAAAGGATTTCGTCCGTCCTACGAAGGCGGATGTTAAGCAGACGCAGAAGATAATAGAAGACACTCAACAACTCGAGCAAGCGAGACGACACCGGCGGATCGCCATGATCGTTCTGGCGACCTTTATCTTTCTTCTGACGGCTTCGGTGCTGGTGGTGGTGATCACCTTGACGCATAGCAGCTTCCTAAGTCCCGCGTCCGGCTCGAAGGAACTAGCCGAACACAGAGCACAACGTAAATGATGAATTTTGACAACTTCGGATAACTCCGAGCTAACTCCGAATCGTAAAATACCGAACATTTTCCGATGGAATATTAAACTTAAGATACGTTTAAAAGCATTAACTTTATCCATCATCCCGCTTTATCCGACATCATCGTTTTAAACGATGTTTCCTCGCAGCTAATTTACTTTGCGTACGGATTTAACTTTTGTAATATCCTTTTATTGCAACGATTACTCTCGATAGGGCCAATTTAAGTTTCGCATTGCTTCTGATTCACGAGCAATTGAGTCTGACTCGTCGTTGAAATTAAGAAAAATCTGTCTCGTCGCGGGAAGAAAGTAACGTAAATTCACTATCGCCTTGCGAAAATGTGCGAGCTCATAACGCTAGTGTTACATCATTTTTTCACTTTGAGAAGATAAGTTTGAGTTTTTCACTTCACTTACCGGCACGTCTTATCGTTTCAGTACGGAAGGAGAACGAGGAGCTGCTGAACTCCCTGAACAGGGACATTTCTGTGCCCGAGAACGTCACGGCGCCTCCCTAAGGCGGGGTGAATTCCTTCAGATGGAAGTGCACAGCTCGTCCGTCGCTCTCGATTCGCTTCAGCCACGTGACACGAAGTCCTCGTCTCGCGAGGAACATCACAATACATTTCCCGACGACGGACAACGTCGTTCGGGAATCAATCACGTCGACGACGCGTTTCATTTTACGGAGTGGAGATCCGGGTGATTCGGGAGAGAAAAAGTCCGAGACGATGGTGAGAAAAACCGGATAAGACTCGGAGCGGGTAGCATGCTGATTGTTGCAACTTTTTAACGCTAAGCTCCAGAGATGTGTCCCTGCATACGACGTACTTGTACGTAGCGGAAACGTTATTGCGACGAGCTCGCAAAAAGTCTAATCGCGACGTTCGACATATCATGTCGAATTGTCGATTGTATTGTTGCCGCGCTCGAAAACCTCGCGTTGATATATATATATATATATATATATATATATATATATATATATATCGTATCGCTGCAGACTAGGTGTCCTCAATTCTAGGCTTCGCCAGTACGAGTTCACTTCGATTAGAAGCACTGAATCAGAATTCTAAATTAGTGATGAAATTCGGCCAAACTGAATCGAAATCGAAACTTAATAGTACTTAACTTAAATTTTATTTGATGGTAAAATGTTTATCTGACCTGATAAATATCGTCTCAAATTTGGCGATTTTTAATGTAGCGGTAACTATTTACCTAGAGAAATTCTCTGGCATTGCGTGACGTCACGTACGTGATCTGTCACCATAAACGTGAACGATAAAGTGACTAAGGGTGCCTGATCTGCATGGAAGCGAGCCGTATAATTCTTCAGGAACGCGATTACAGTCTTTGAGACGAGAGCTCACGTAGTTTCGTTGCGAAATTTATTCCGACGATAAGTCGCACACCGAATGTCAACAACGAAGGAACGATTTAGACGTGAAAAGGATACGATGCCATAGACGTGGCATTTTGCCGTCTGCTCGTCGGCGAAGGAATCGGCTGATACACGAAACTTTTTGTCTATTTACTTCTTCGGATACGTGAGAACATACGTGGCCCGAATTACACGTGAGTATCGATCCACGTGAATATCCACGCGGACCCGCGAAAGAAATCATAGAGAAAACCGACGTAGGGTTTAGCTCCACGGTGCTTTTTTTACATGTCTTCCAGGACGATAAAGGACACGAGCTCAACGAACGGAGGCTCCGAGTCGCCGATTCCTCGCGCTGACGACGGACCGGATCATTTTTGTGCATGTAGAAAGCTGTACATAGGAACGTTCGTTTATTAAAAGTCGTTTATAATTACGCACGTCGAGAGGATAGCCGAGATAAGAGCTAAATTTGTTGTTGTCAATTGTAAAATAAATTGTCATAGAAGACACATCCCGTCGAGGTCGCGGCAAAAGAAGAGAAAAGAAACGGAACACCATTGGCGATCGGTTATTAAAATGTATGTACGTGCGTGTGCGCGCGCGCGTGGATGTGTGGTGTGTGTGTGTGTGTGTGTGTGTGTGTGTGTGTGTGTGTGTATGTCTGTACATTACCATATGTATAAGGATACAATTCACGCACGAAACGTCCAAAATATTTTTATTCGCTTCACTCCGCTGCTCCCAATTTCCCATTTCGCTTTGTGACTAATTGCTTAAAGTTTTATCGGATATTTTTCGCCATGATGATGGCGATTCAGCGGAAACTTTTTCCGATACGTTTATTCCGCAATCCCTTTCCACGAGCATTGAAAATATTTGCCGAACATAATTCGATCCCATGAATCTTGTATTTCGCAATTAAACGGTATCCATAATTCTGACACGGAATGCACGCGCGAAATGTTTATCCCGTATGCTCATATATCTATTGAATTTTCTATAAGCAACGTCTACTATTTTTATATGCGATATCGCTATTCGCTGTGAAAACATTCGGGATTTTTATTTCATTGAATTTTATCGTTTTGTTTGTTCTGTTCGTGATTGAAATTATTTTAATCTGAAACATCCAGTCAAATCTGACGTCGCTGAAACAGATGACATCTCGTGACAGTAAAAGGATCAACGTGAGATATATCAATAAAATAAAATATAGTTTTTTGTACACATGGAGAGATGTCGTTTATATATCGATACAATCTGGTTTATGCTGGAAAAATAACCGTCACATTTGACAACAAAACTTTCTCGTGGTACAATCGTATTGAACTTCAATATTGCTACAAAACTAGAAGAAATTTAGAATTTCGTGAAAATCGTTTCCGTTTTACAAAAACTATTTCTCGCGAATGCGAAAAATTGAATCGTTTAAATTGATATACGAACATTATTTTTTCAGGACTGCGACATTTATTACATTTTTTTGCGGAACGCAAAATACACAAAAACGTAAATGTGCCATTTTTATCATCTGTAATAATTTTTATTCCTTTTTTTTTTCCGAATGTAAAATGTGTTATTTCTGTAAATTTGTAATTTTAATTAGAGCGTATTGTTTTTCAAGGAGTTCGACTGCAGTTTCGAATGTCTGCGAGTTTGCTTAGCGATCGTTACAGTTAAACGCGGGATGACTTTTTCTGTCTGGTAATGAGATAATGTACGATAACGAAATCTATAAATACTATCGGAGGTTAAACGCGCTTATATGTATAGTGACACATTAGTACCTAATGTCGTTTCCGCGACATGTTAAAATTAACGCGACGCGGAATATCGAGCGCTTAAAGAAGAGGAAGGAAAGAACAGGCGAATTAGAATTTTTATGATTACTTGTTACCAGGCTCACATATGTATACGTCGAATGTACGTAAGATATACATACACTTTCGAAATGTTACGATCGCGCGAGATAGATCGCAATGAGGAGCGGCAAGAAGAATTTCCTTCGTCTTTCGACCAATCTCTTTCGACTCGTCAATTTCTCTGTTCTGTGTGCCGAATTAACGCATCTGCGTTATTCCATTTCGCTGTCTATTCTAAAGATAACCGTCCTGAGAATTATGTTTTACCGCAAACCATTGTATTATATTTCGCCGATCACGATTTGCTCTATCCTTTGCTCTATCTATGACGGGATCGACGATGCAGGCTCGATCGATCGATTGATCGAATTATTATTTATCATCGTGGAAGGGAAACGATCAGTTTGACAGGCACGTTCGCGTCGCACAATCAATCGGCAAACGTAATCGCCGATCTTTCGCGATTCGCATCGCATAAGAACGTAAGTTAAAAGTTATCAATAATCGGTTTCTCGAGCGAACAAGTCGGGATTCTTCTTTTTTTTTCTAGATAAAATCGGCATTCAGAGATCGTTAAAGGATACGTACGGAGCGCAGCCAATTTTGCTGATAAGCTTGTTAACGTAGTCTTAAAACAGCTCACGGCCGTAGATCTCTCGCCGGAAATACTTCGGCCATAGTTCGTAGCCGCCGATCGATTCGGCGACTCGGAGGAACACAATAATTCGCTACACGTTGTGCGCAAAGACCTTTTCTATAAAGATATTTCCCTTTTCTACCTGTAATTATTAATTTCTAGGGCCATTTGGTAGACGTTACGTAGCGTTACGAGGACCTTTTTTCACTAAGCCTGTCTCTCGCGACGAGCCTTTACTCCCGTCTTCTTTTTTGCATACGCTTGGAGATCACTTGGCCTAACGCGAGAGATCCATTTAATAACCGAGCTAAATAAATAACTTAGTACCCGCTCTAATCTCGAAGAGATCCCACGAGAGCGAATATCGAGTTTTGGCGAGTGTTCGCGCATATAGTGAACGTTAGAAACTTCGTACGAGAATTAACGAAGAAAAAAGAGATAGAGAAAGAGAGAAATTTAAGAGAGAGAGAGATAAAAATATTTGCGCTGGTCGCGTCTTCATTTCTTACGACACTATGATACCACCGAGGATACGATACAATCGCGCCGACAATTTGGCATCGCGTGACAATTAACGACGATGCTTCCTCAAGGTTGCACCGTACTTAAAGTTTAAGCCCCAGACGCGAGATATACGATATACGTGTGCCAAAGCCGTGCGTGTGTGCGATACGCACTCAAGTTCCCTTCGACAATCATAGTACCGGTGTGAGTACGATCGCTTGTGTGTGCGTTTTTACGAGAGAAGAGGAGGGCATTTTCTGCGTCGCAGGGCGCGACGTGGTTCGTTACACGAGCGACAAGCTCCACTCGGGGGAGTAAGCGGATTGTCCTCCCGATCGTTGATCGCTCGGGATCGCCGGGCAGAAATGACTCTCGTGCTTCTCATTGCTTCTTACTTTATAGCTTCGATATATCGCGCCGGCAGCTGCACGCGTCCGCCGGCGGAAAAATGTGTTCGCAATAAAAAGGAGATGAGGCACCGATAAAACGTACAAAATTTTAACTTCAAAACTTTATCTACAGTCAAGTACTTCCGGTACTGCAATCAAGAAATTCGAGATTGTAAGAGAGGCACTTAGCTCAATATTACCAAATTATACCAAATTTCGCGAAGGACACCACAAGGAAAGATCCATCTGCTTTAAACTATTTCCCGCAACGTATTTCCATGCAACTTTGTGTAATAATGTCTAAATTAAAAATGCAAAAGCACTCGCATAATTCTCTTCCATGCAATAAGAAAGAAAAATAGATTCCGTGCTTTATTTTTTACCGTCCTATTACCCGTCGAAACCTTTTTAGTCATTAAGTTACACGGTGGGATCTAGCAAGTCTCAAAATGATCGTTTTCTTCATTTCCTTTTTATCAAGATAATCTCTTTAAAGCAATGCATATTAAATGAGGAGCCAATTTTGTGCTCTAGATACAATTATAAAATATACACGCAGATAAATCTGCGACCTTTTTTTGGTAAAATTGGGCAATGTGCGTGACATTAAATAATAAGCAGAATAAAAAGCTGTGTGCAAGTTTCATCTTGTCGCTCTCGTACGCGAGGCACGCGTGTTTTATTCAAGGAAAAAAGTCACGCGAGTGGTGTATTCCGGACACGCTGACGAGATTTTACGCCAGGGATTGTAGTAGTAATATAATAATCTCGACCACGAGGTGTGTATCATAGCGAAGCGTTATGAGATGTTACAATGGATGAGATATTATAAAAAAAATTTATGTTTCTATATTGTAATAACGTTTATGTATAACGAGATTATTATAATGCAAAAATATACATACTAGTTGTCCAGTTTTCGGCAGCATCTTTATTAACCTTTCATCGAGTCGCGTCATCTTCTGAAATGAGTCTGAAAAAGAGGAGAGAGAAAGAAAGAGCAAGAGACAGAAAAAGAGAGAGAGAGAGAGAAATTGCGAAATAACCTACGGAGATGGCGAGAGAAAGGATGCGAGAGAAAGGGCTCATATTCAATACAGCTGCGGATTAAAACGGTGAGTTTCTTTATTGTCAACGTATATTGCAAACTTCTACATTGTAGAAATCTGTAAAGTCGAGGTGGAGTTCGATTAGCGTTTGAACCCTGCCTAAAAGGGACGTGTAGAGAGTCATGCAATAGCGCGAACATACTTGACACTCGAGTTAAGGTGTAGCTTATCAAATATAGCGTGACTCGTGGCGTGGCCGGTGATGATAAAGGGGCGAGTGACCGACTTTCCCCCGCGGATTATTTCTACAACTAAATCGCGGTATCCATTTTCGGTTGTTTGCTTGTCAAACACAGAGCCACGTTCTTCCGTTTACGTAACAGGTGGATCGCGTCGGCAGGAGCAAGAATAAACTTTTCCCTCCCCTTTTCAACCCCCTCCCTCGAGCGGGGGTGCTGCCGTTATCCGATTATGAAAGCAATAGGGATTTCCCACGTGTCGGTCAGACCGCCACTTATTATTGGCGATTGTTCACGCACGAGAGCACGCAACCCGGATACTCCGGGGTAAGTTTATAACGCATGTCGTGAACGTGCGTGAGTGTTTTCTTTAACTCTAATAACGGGCCAGTTATATTCTACGCCGAAGCTATTTCTATAACGCGCATATGTCTCTCACCCTGCCTGAAAGGGAAAATAAGTTAGTCATGCCACAGTGCTCGTCTAAATCCTTCTTGCATCAGGGCCATAGGCGTGCGCGCGTACCCTGCATGAGATACACGCGGATCACACGCTCTATTCTTCAATAACGTTTAATCGTAAGCGTTATTATATCGTGCGTTGTTTGTTTTACACCCTGCCTTAAAGGGATAAGAAAGATGTTCCTAATCGCCGTGGTGTCGCGCCGAACAGGACTTTGCGGGAAATCAATTTCCTTCTCTTTTGCTCTCCCCGAGATTCCTCTGTGCATCTGCTGCACAATTTTATTTTTTACTTTGTCCCCCATTATCCTCATTGCGTTTTAACAGACATTTCTTTGCGGTTCAAGTTCAAGATGCAAGGTATCTTATCGCAAAAGATATATATCATACGGAATTAAAAGCGACAAATGCTCTCTCCGCATGAAATTCTTCCGTAAAAATCTTTTGCCTGTTCGGAGCTCGACCAGAGCGATACAATAAATACTTTACGATTAATTAAAAACTATCAGTCTCAAGCTTCAGTTTAACCCTGCCTAAAAGGGAAAAAAGGTGGTCATGCAAGATTGCTCTTACCATATTCGGGGCCCTAGCTAACGCGCGTTGGATACACGATGACTTCCGAAGAAATGATTTCATTGAAACGGTTCTTTGGAAACCATCGGAAACCACTGTAAATTCACATTATTCTCGGCCGAGATTTCTTCGCCAAATCGAGATTTTTGCCGATCGAGCTAGCATTTCAAAGTCGAACAAATAAATAAATTCTCTGTGGCGAATAAATGTAAAAAAAAAAACGTTCTGCGAATTCAATAGTTAAGTAAGCTTCTGGATGAAACATTTGGTTTGATAGATAAAAATACAATAACAGATAATTGTTGCCGGATTTGCAACTGTTATTCGCTGAATCTTCCATCCAATTTGTGCGCATTGAGTGTAAATAAAAGGATCGAGTGTCACGTTGTTAATGATGAAGAATAATAGCGCGAAATTGCCATCATTATCTTTCAGTCAAATTCTGCGTAGTTCGATACACGTTTTTGAATTAAAGTGTTTGAATTGAGATATTTTCGAATTAACGTAACGTTTGCGCAAGTGACGAGCGCTTATTTGCGTGTTTAACATGCAAATTTAATCCAAAACAAATATGCGTCATTATCACGCGAACTGAAGTTTCTCTCTAATTATAATATCGTACGATGATATCTCGATCGGGAAAATGCTCTTTTTGGCGACCTCTCATTACTTCAATTGAAGCGCCTTCTTCAATGGAATATAAGGGCCCTTTCTTAGACACTAAAATCTTATGAGCTAGCTTTTCTTTGAGGAATCTTCCCTCCGTATGCTAACGATTAGTTTAAACTTTGATACAAATTTCATAATTGCGTTTTTACATTGTGAGATAAAGCGTCAAAAATAAAAAAAAATTCTCTATAAAAGCAGATTCAAATCAAAACACAAGAGACTCCGTAACAAATATATAAATATAGAGATTCTCAAAATTTCCTTTCGAATTTCTTGTTTAAAAAAATGCATAAATCCATCGACCTTTGACAGGGAATGCTCTCCGGTTCTTTCAAAGATATGCAAACGGTGATGGCTTGTTTCTTTAAATTTTGCATTTAAACAGTACCATGCTGTTTTCATTTTTATCTTATTTTAAAGCAACAATCCAATATTGCAATTGATCTTACCGATGATCGTTGGAAATATTTCTTGTCTGATATCTCTCGATCGAGCCGGACCGTTGGAATCGGAAAGGCTATCAGCCGCCATGAGGTTCCCTGTCAAATGTCCCATAACCCGGGAAATGCGTGTCGCTTATTTCTGTCGTTTGAAAATTATCGTGAATTCTTCATAAACATTACGACCTTATTCGTGCCTATCGACCTAAGCTATCATACTTATTTTGATTTCGCCTTTCGTAATGTTCTTCTTCTTCTCTTGCTTCTTCTTTTTGCAGTTCAGCTCCTCCTGAATTTCTAGCAACGACTTGCCTTTGGTCTCGGGAACGAACAACGCGATGAAGATCACGCCAAGATAGCAGCTGACGGCAAACCAGCCGAAGGCCGCGTACACTCCCCAATTGTCGGAGATCACTTGGTACATCTTGGAGACGATGAAGGCCAGCAAGGAAGACACCAGATTGGCCAACGAGACGGCGGCGCCTTTGACACTCGTCGAGAACAATTCGCCCAGCATCATGTAGGGCAGCGGATTCAGGCCTAGAGCGATGATCAGCTCGTAAAGGATCACGGAGGAGTGAAGCAGCCAGCCGTATTCGGATGTGTCCACTCCGAATTGAAATTTGACAAGATAGAAGACACCGGTGATGGTCAGCACGATTCCAGCTAGGAGGGTGGTGGTGATAAGTAAGGGTCGTCGGCCGAGTTTGTCGACCAGAACCACCGCTCCGAGACCAGCGATTAATTGGAGCACGCTCAACAGAATAACGGAGATGCTCGCGGGTAGGCCCGCGTCGCCTTCCTCGAGAATCTCCTGGGTGTACGACTCGACGGCGGCAATGCCGCTAAATTGGAGGACAAATTGCAGACCGATGCTGATGATGACGGCGCGTCGGTTGCCAGGCGTGCCGAAGAGATCCCAGAAGTGGCCGCGATCGCTGAGATCGCGGACGACTATCTTCTGCATCTGCTCCATGTCCGTCTCCAATTGATCCTTGGAAACGCAGCGCTTCAGACGTTTCAGACTCGCCATCGCGTTATCCTGGCGGCTCTTCATCAGCAAGTAATACGGCGACTCGGGCATCCAGGGAAAGCTCATGAAGAATACCAGCGGGATCAGCAAACAGCTGTAACCGAGCAATTTGTAAGAGACAAACGGACCGACCGCGTGAGCGTATAACTCTCCGAAGGTCACCATCAGCTTGATAAAGGAGCCGAGGGTACCCCTGATCTCCTTATCGGCGATCTCTCCGATATACATAGGGCAGACGACGTATGCAATGCCCTGGCCGATACCACCGATACCGCGAGCAGCGTAGAGAACGTAAGGATTCCACGCTATGATGATCAATACGTATGAGAGAGTCAGTGGTATGCCGCCTATCAGCAGGCTCATCTTTCGACCCAGTCGGTCCACGATAAAGGCCGCTACAATGCATCCAGGTATGGTGCCCAAAAGGTAGAACGAGGCAATCCAGGAGGCGTCGTCGGATGTTACCAGCATGTGAGAGTAGGCTGATTTCAATATTGGTAAGGTGGGTGACGTCCATCCTATGTGGGATCCGGCAATTGCTAGCGATAAGGTAGCTGCGATAAAATCGAACGGATGAATAAATCATAATTTACGTTGTCCTTCCGTTGATTCTTTTTTGTATATAGAACAAGTAAAAGTGAATTTCAAATAGAATTTATTGATGAAAGAAAGAAAGATTAAGTCTTCTCTAGATAAGATAATATGTAGATATAAAGCAGTTGAGATAAATTTTTATTTACATGCAAAAAATATGGGCATTAATAAATATGTTGTAAAAGAAATTATACTATACAACGTAGTTCCGGTAAAATATGACATTAAATTCTAATTTAATAAATGCTTTTTTAATTTTGTATTTAATACTATGAACTTCGGATATTTTCCACTTCAAAATTTTCAAGATTCATATTTACAATTTTAATTTAATTATAATATTGATGAACTAAAATAATCTATATCGATTGGTATCAAAATTGAATATATATTATTATTATATATTTTATTATTATTATATATAATTGAATATATATTAATTGAATATATAATATTAATTATGTAGGTTGAAAAATTCCATGTAGTATAATATTTAAAAATTTTTAATTATTGAAAAGTCATTATTTAAATTCTTTTATTTAAAAAATATAAAATTCAATTTTAATTATTTTACCTGTAATCGCTGCTAAATATTGAGACCACCGTTTAACACGGGATTGCTCCATCTTTTATTTCTTCTTATTATAGGACTGAAGAGAAAATCAATTTATGTATTATTAAGACAGTGCAGATGCAATTGTATTAAAATTAAATATAAAAAAAATTAGCTGTGCTGTTTCCTTCTAAAATATATATATATATGGATTCTATTTTTTTATATAAAATTCAGAGAAAAATGAATTAATTATTTACTAATAATAATAATATTATTATTGCATTATTCAATTCATAGGATTATATATTTTACAAGCGCATGTCCAGAATAAATTTTAAAACAAATTAGAGGCTTAACCCATTTCCGTTCTTTAAGCTGTTTATGTAGGAAATTCTATTAAATTTAAATCAATATTATACTTACAGAGATAGCGATGAAGCGCGCTAATGCTACCAGAGAAGACGATCGCCACCAGCCTAACGGCACCCGGATTTTAATGCATTTCAGATGGAATAACAACGCATTTATGGCGCCGTAGATTATATATGGTACTTTATCAGCGCTTTCGTTATCAGCGATTCGTGTCAAATCTGCTGCTGTCCCCACTCATTCCATCATTTCATTTTGATGATGTTTGCTTATTACTAGTTAGGTCTGGAAGGACAGGTAGAATAAACATCCAATTATTTTTCTGTACACGTGCCAACTATGTGCGTTATTTGATTGTTCGAGAAGGTAGAGATCTTAAGGTAACCCAATTTACATGAAGATATAATACAGGCATGACGTAATCCCTTAAGTTGTGCAACGCACGTTTTGAAGAAATAGTATCAAATATCTCGCGGGATTATTGTATTACTACATGTACTCGGTACGAAATGGCACCACGATTATTCATTTCGTTATACCTTTACGATACCTTAATGGAATTATAATATAATACGTAATAAAATAATAATTTCAAACAAACTATTTCTATATTACCTGTAATCGCTGCTAATTCTTCACATTTAAGCGACATTTCAATTAATTCGAGCATTACAACATTTGTCCGAGACATTAAGATCAAATTCTTTCGAGTTATTTAACATCGTTGTGTTAAATATCAATCGGAGATGAGATTTTTTAGATAGAAAACTGCAAAAACGATCATCACGTATTCGTTTCCGCTATGTATAATAGGATATAATAGAATTAATAATTTATATTTATTAAATAAAGGGAAAATCCTGCATATAGAGTTATTTATAAACAATGCCTTTTTGTTGGCGCTGATTAACGGCGGCGCCGTTGATTAACAAACGTGCAATAACATTATAAGCTTATTGGTATAAGTAATTAATCATTTTACAACATCGTGGCTGTAATATAACAGTCTCACCTACAAATAACGATCTCTCTGGGATTGTTATGAATAATGGACGATAACAGTGGACAACGAGAGCATAAAAAAGCGCAATCATCATTTTTTTGTAATGCATATTTTTCAAACGTTGTTTACATTCTATCCGCATGAACAGAAAATAAATTCTCTCCGGATTAGACTATGTTGTGAATTACAAGAAGAGCATATTTGTCAATTGACAAGATAATAACGAAACGATGACAAGATACGCGCGATCGCTATTTTTAATTTGTCAAATATTTTACTCTTTTCTTTAGATATCTTTTCTATTTTCTTACTTTCTTCTTTGTAAGTAAATCATTAGTGGTTTACTTTATCAGCTGGATTATCTGAAATCATTGTATACAAACAAGTAGTCATCTTTGCAACCATATTCTTCCTTGTTTATTATTGCGTAAAGAGATTCGATTCGCGACACGTGTAGAGCATAATGAAATTTTTGTGCGAACGTTTTCGCAAGAATGATCGTTGTTTGTAAACTTTTCTCAACGGAATCTTTTCTTGTCTTTCAAATTAAGCGTACAAGGTAATCGTTATCGTGCCTTGAAACCGTGATAATTTCTGCCGCAAATATGCGCTTTACGTATCCATATGCAAACATAGCGCATTGCAAGTTTTTTTGTGAAAACGCGTGGATGCTCCTTATCGGCTGTAATTAACCTGCGGAAAACACATCGCGTGTTTTATGTTTTCGCAATACAGGATTTATTGTTAGATACAAGCGTCTATAAATTCAACAATATTCTGGAGCTTTTCTTAGTACAAAATAAGCACTTTAATCCGAAGAATCAAGTTAGATAAAGAGTAGATATACAGAGAGAGAGAGAGAGAGAGAGAGAGAGAGGAGAGAGAGAGAGAGAGAGAGAGAGAGAGAGAGAGAGAGAGAGAGAGTAG